AATCTAACAAGCCCCAACTCAGACTTATTGAATTAGAAACTCTAGGGTGGAGCCCAGCAATCTGTATTTTTAATTGCTCTCCAGATGATTCTGGTGTACACTAAACCTGCAAAACTACTGATCCTGCCAAACACTGGTAAGACTGGCAAAAAACCACTGGTAATACTGGCAAAGGTTCATGCAATCAGGTGGACACTAATGATGACAGTAGGGAAAGGTTATTATGAGGAGGAGCAGAATCCAGATTACAGAAGATTTGAGGAATATGCTTTAAAAAGAAATGGAGACAGCACATATATACTCTTCTTCCAATATAGCCTGAAGAGAATAAGAAGACAGACTTAAAGTAAAGGTGATTTAAAAAATTATTAACACTTTCCCAGGCAGCTGCCAAAGATGGTGGAGGGGCAGGTGAGGAAGCTGGAGATTTTTAGCCAAAGTCACATTGTCAGGAAGTCTGGCTTTACATTCTGTATCCTTCTGCCTTCAACAATCACAAGTATATAACAAGCACTGGGTCCTGGTGCTCAGTGGCCGAGGCCATCTCCTGGGCTGCCTGGCAGCCATTGTAGCCAAACAGGTGCTTCTGGGCTGGAAGGTTGTAGTTGTGCACTATGAGGGCATCAACATTTCTGGCAATTTCTACAGAAACAAGTTGAAGTACTTGGCCTTCCTCTGCAAGCGGATGAACACCAACCCATCCTGTGGCCCCTACTGCTTCCAAGCACCCAGCCGTATCTTTTGGCGGACAGCTCGAGGCATGCTGCCCCACAAGACCAAGTGAGGCCAGGCTGCCCTGGTCCGCCTCAAGGTGTTTGATGGGATCCCACCACCCTATGAAAATAAAAAGCAAATGGTGGTTCCAGCTGCCCTCAAGGTGGTACGCCTGAAGCCTACACGAAAGTTTGCTTACCTGGGGCGCCTGGCTCACAAGGTTGGCTGGAAGTACCAGGCAGTAACAGCTACCCTGGAGGAGAATAGGAAGGAGAAGGCCAAGATCCATTACTGGAAGAAGCAGCAGCTTATGAGGTTACGGAAACAGGCCAAAAAGAATGTGGAGAAGAAAACTGACAAATACACAGAGTTTCTCAAGACCCATGGACTCCTCGTCTGAGCCCAATAAAATTGACTGTTTATTCCTCAAAAAAAAAAAAAAATATTAACAGAATAAAGTCCTCCAGAAGACAGAAAACGATTCAGAGCCCAAGCAGAGGAACTGGCCTTGGGAGGTATGGCAGGTACCAGTGGTTGCCTTCCCAGTCCACTCTCTTTCCAGAATAACAGAATCCCAATTTACTTCTTTTCTAAGAGGGCTGGAAGAATCTTGACTAGTCTAAGCCAATCACAGGACTTTATGTCTTTTGCCACTGATTGGTTTAGAAATGCGTTATATGAGGTACATTCAGCTAGTGAAGTCTCCTAAGAGGCTTTTGGGAAAGTTTTTCACTCTAAAAAAAGACATAAAAGAGATGTTATAGCCTGAATTTTTGTGCTCCCCACCTCACAAAATTCACAGGTTAAAGCCCTAATCCCCATTGTGATGGTATTTGAAGGTGAGGCCTTTGGGAAGTAATCAGAGTTACATTACATCACGAGGGTGGAGCCCCCATAATAGTATTAATGTTCTTACAAAATGACAAAGAGACAAAGTTCTCTCTCTGCCATGTGAGGCAACAACAAAAAGGTGGTTGTCCTCAAACCAGAAAGAGACCCTTACCATGAATCTTTAGGCAACTTGATCTTGGACTTCCCAGACTCCATTAACTGTGCAAAACAGTCTAAGCCACCCAGTCTATACAGTATTTTACTATAACAGCCCAAAATGCTGCTGTACAAGAGATACCTTCCTTTCTTACAATCTTGGATACTCAGAATTGAGGATATAAATCTTGGAGCTCAAGGTGCCTGACATCTCCAGACCTGGAGGGGACAAGCCTGAGGACAAAAGCTAACAGGATGTTAGAATGGAAAGACACAAAGATCCTGAGAGCCTAATGACTGCAGTTAGCTGCTACATGAACCAACCATCAAACCATCTTTCTTCCAAAGTTCTAGTTATATGAGATCATAAAAGTTACTTATTATTTTCAGTTTCAGCTGGGTCTTCCTTTACTTGCCAGCTGAAAGCATTTTGATACAGAAAGATATTTTCACTGAGAGGAGTGTCAATGAAATTAACTTTGCCTCTTGGAGACATGGGAATTTGAGAGAGTTTCAGACTAAAGTTTCATTTATTAAACAAATGAAGCTTATATAGATCTATTTTATAAAGAGACTGCCTTACCAGCTCTTTTCTGCTTTAAAATACGTAGTATTTCTAATGATAACGAAAGTCATGAAGATGATGGTGATAAGCTTATGCTTATTAAAGTATTTTTTAAAGCAAAGGCATTTTATCCTTGTACTGCTTACCTTCTGCATTTCATTTGACTTCAACAGTGAAATCATGGCAACACTTTCTACTTTGTTTATAACAATTTTTGTGTCTTAATTTTTCAAATTTTCTTGGTATATAACACTGTACCACAATGTAGTTTACAGAGGGAACCCTTAATTTGAAAGAACAACATTCTGAAAGCCAAACAATGTATAAAAAGATTTCTATTTTTATTTCCATACATTTTCTAATCTGTTCAAGAAAAGAAAACATTTCAAACAGATCTGTGGAATGATACCTTTGATTCCTATCAAGGGGTAGAAAGTCAACACTGTAGCCAGGTAGATAAACACCATTTGAACACAAATAACAAGAAGCAGTAGAAACGTATGACTACCCAGGCAGTCCCCAAATGGTGAAAAACACAGTTGGAAACTAAATTTTAAGACAGTTTTTGAAGCCCAAGACATTTTTCCTATAGAAGCAATGTTACTATGAGTCACTGCATTACTGCGCCAGTCCACAAAACCCTTATAAAACCATATGCATAAGACTATTGTTTGAACTACACCCAGGCAGAATAATACTTTTTCCTTTGGAAAATACATCATTTTCTCCCTCCACCCTCTTCCGAGTCCCAGGAGAGTAGGCCTAGCCATGGACTCTGTTCACCTCTCCAATCTCATCGTTACTCTCTACATTGCACACTCTCTGGGTCAGCCACGCTGCCCTCTTCAACCTGCAGAAACTTTTCCTCTTGTAGTTGCTGCTGTCGTGCCCTCCCTGACCTCTTCTAGATCACCTCTCTCAGCCTTCATGTCTCAACTTAAATGATACTTCCTCAAGAAGACAGTTCCTTATCCCCACACTGAGTCACAGGTTGCTGCTGGACTCTCGCACTCCAGTATTTCTTCCACTGTATCGTAATCACTTTGTTTATCCTCCTCATAATCTCTGTATTTGGGGCATCTTACTTGACACTATTTAGCCCTAGAATATAGATGAGTAGCTGGCATTTTGAAGATGTTTAACACATATTTGTTTGTATGAATGAGTTTACCTAATGAGGTACTTCATTTTTAACCTGACCCACAGAATATTTAACTTTATCTATGCCCATTACCAAGAGATTAAGCAGCTTTCCAAAAATTTCTTTACTCCTGAATTCATACCTACACATTGTTCATAGAAAGAAGGCTATCTATCCAATTTCTTCCACATGAATAGTTTATAAAGTAACTTAAATGGAGTGTTAAAATTCTAGCAAACATAAGTATATATTCTAATATTACTTTTATCTCTTTCTTACAGGTAATGTCATTCATTCGTTTTGGTTTTATTAACTATTTAAATTCAATTTAATTATCAGTGTATTATTAGTTTCAGAGGTAGAATTCAGTGATTCATCAGTTGCATACAACAGCCAGTGCGTACTTATTACATCAAGTACCCTCCTTAATCCCCATCAACCAGTTACCACATCCTCCCACTCACCTCCCCTCTAGCAACCCTCAGTTTGTTTCCTATAGTTAAGAGTCTCTTATAGTTTGCTTCCCTCTCTGTTTTTTTCTTATATTATTTTTCCTTACCATCCTCTATGGTCATCTGCTTTGTTTCTTAAATTCTACAGATGAGTGAAATCATATAGTATTTGTATTTCTCGGACTTATTTATGTTCATCGACAAATGAATGGATAAAGAAGATGTGGCATATGTTATACAATGGAATATTACCGGGGCATCAAAAAGAATGAAATCTGGCCATTTGCAATGATGTGGATGGAACCAGAGGGTATTATGCCAAGGTAGTGTCATTCATTCTTAAGTTTTTACTGCAATCGATGAAATGCTAATTCCCAAATTTGTATCTCTAGACTTAATTTCTCTCTTACATTAAAAATCCAAATTTCCAGGTGTCTATAATCTTATACCTGAATGTAAGGACTTCACTCCAACATTTTTCTCTTGTGTTCCCCATTTCAGATAATGACATTACCACCTGGAAACTCGAACCTGACATTCAAATTCTCTTACTCTTGTTAAAGATTGGTCCATAAACCAATAATGCTTGTTGTTTATCGCCTGGAATCTTTTAGAAACACAAGACTGTGCCCCACTCTGGACCTGCTGAATTAGAATCTACCTTTTAACAAAATCCCCAGGCAATTCATATACACGTTAAAATCTGAGAAACACTGATCTTTTCTCCTTACTCTCACAAATCAAGTCCACCAAGTCTACACAGAAAAATGTCTCATATATATTCCCTCCCATCTATTTTTGTTACTGCCCTGATTTAAGCCATCAACTCTTGCCTGGAACATTGCAATGATCTTTTAGTTGATCTCATTCTTCTAATCCATTGGTTCTCATCCAGAAGTTCATAAGAGATACTCTTCTATACATACGCTATGAATTTGAGATAGGCCATATGGTTGGCAGAACAGAATTGTACATAATATAAAACCTGTCTTACCTATGTTGCAATCAAAATCTAGGGACACTTAGAAAAATGTCATACGGAAAAAAAAATGTCATATGGGAAAGCATCTAAAAGTAAAAGTAAAAAGACTGAGAACCACTTCTCTTGAGTCTCCTCAAAACAATCTTTCCCCATACTGACCTGTTTTCTTTCCAAAATACAAATATGATCACATCATATCCCTCTCTAAAGTCTTTCAGTGGCTTCTGAACACGTCATGGACTTCCACATTTCCATCTTTCTGTTCATGCTTTCCTTTTTTTTTCTCCTTTTGGCAAAAATCTTGCTCATCTTCTGAAGTCCTGTTCAAGAATCATCTCACTGGAAAAAAAAAAAAAATTCATCTTATCTTGCCAATTTTCTTGGTAAATAACTGCTTCCCCCTTCCCCTGCACCCCACCATATGTTCATCATGTGATCATGGCTGCCTATCTTCCCTGCCAGACAAGGACTTCCCTGAAGGCATTCTGTATCTCAGTCACTGACAGATGGTAGATACTCAAAAAATGTAAAATAAGTCAATTACCATTTATATCTGATATCATCAAAGCTATAGAACTTATTACTGATAATGTGAATGCATTTATAAACTATAAAATACTAAGTACCATATATCTATAAGACGGAATCATTTTGAAAATAAAACAAAAAAGGAAAAGAACTCTTAAGTTAGATATACCCAAACATAGTAAAAGTTTATATATGCTTGGAGAGCATATTTAAATATGCTTAATTCCCATTCACAAAAATGCAGCTAACCCTTATGAGCCCACAATCTGGGTAGGTCTACCTTGTTTCCTGATAGTTAAACCAGATAATTGGACAAAAAGAAGAGTTTAGCCTTTGGTAAAGAGAGGAGGAGATAAGTCTGCCTGCTGACTTTTTAAATTATATATTTTATCATAAAGATTAAAAAGTTATCTTTATGTAATAAAGAAAATTATCTGTTATTTAAAATTGTTAAAATTTTATTTTCTGCATATTACTTCTCAAATGTGGTTACATCACACTAAACATACCATTTTGTATTCAGTTACAAAATTCTGCCATAAATTACACTCATAATTACACTTTCAGTGACCTCATTACTTTATCATCTTGACATACCTTTAGTTCATTAAAACATTCATCAAATCTCAGTAACTTAGTTCAACATTTATTGAACTGCTATGTGTCAGGCCCTGAGACAGCTGACCACCCCTAACCTCAAGAACCCCTACTCAAGTGGCAGGGGTTGACGCATTTACCTGGCACTGCACTGTAGTGCTGAACGCAAATCAAGGGTGGCTCACTAGCAGTGATAATTAGGGTGGGATGCCTCATCCATCTGAGTGCTGCTCCCAAAGGATGAGAAGTCAACAGGACTTGGTCAGGGGAAAAATAGGAGAAATGTAATATGGACAAGGCAAAAAAATCTGAAATCACACATGTCCAGAGAAAGGCAGTGGCTAAGAGTATAGCACAAGAAACAAGTAAGCATGAATGGCCTCCACTTCATCAAAATCTCACCAGACCTGGGAGTTATTTTAACTTCCAGTACTTGCAAGAGAATAGAAGGGGTAACTCAAAGTGGATTTAAAATGCATTTCTTTGATTACCTGTGATGATGAACATATTCCTACATTTTTATTACTAATTATATTACATATCTGTTAAAATTCTTTGTCCACTTATGTACTAAGTCTTGACATTTTTTTCCTCATTAAGTTTAAGAGAACTCTTCAGGTATTATAGATATTAACCCTTAATCACGCCTGATAGGAGCACTTTTCCCAGTCTGTTATATTATTTTCTTCATTGTGAATAAGTCTTAAATGTTATACATTCATGCTGCTGACCTATCAATTCTTTGGTGAGTTTTTCACTGCTCCAATACTAAGTTACTATACTGAGTTACTGAGCTATCACAAACCTGATAAATATTACATTCTATTTTCTTTTTTTTTTTAAGATTTATTTGAGAGAGAAAGAGAGAGAGAGCAAGCATGTGCAAGCTCCAGGGGGAGGCGCAAAGGGAGAAGGAGAGAGAGAGAGACTCCCCACTAAGCACAGAGCCCCATGTCTGGCTGGATCTCATGACCCTAAGATCATAACCTGAGCCTAAATTAAGAGTCAGACACTTAACAAACTGAGCTACCCAGGTATCCCTACCTTCTATTTTCTACTGAGTTTTCTAAAATGTGATTTTAAAAATATTTAGCTCTTGATATCAGCTAGACTTGACAAAGACATGATATACACAACACTGACATACAGCCATTAATCTCCCTCTTCCTACCCTGCTTCCATTTCCTTTGCCAAAATATAGCTAGAGAATTCTTTTTTATGTCTTCATTCCTTTTAATTCAAATTCCCTTACCTAACAATGCTACAAATAGAACAGCAGGAGCAGGTGTCCTATTGCACTGTCTTTAGAGATGCCCCTGAGACATCCACACCCTCTATGAAAGAATTAAGAATTAATATTTTAAGGTACATATAAGGACACAAAATACTTAAAGGATGCATTTTACGCAACACAATAAAAATCAGCACTAATTCTGAAGTAATCCTGGCAACATTTCTCTTCTAAGTCCCCCAAACTAGAAACAATCTGTGTTTTCTTTGAGGGCTTGACATGCCATAGCCTTTTGACTTTATGTTATGATAGGTAGTTTTCAAGTTAGAAAGGGGGACTTAGTCAAGTGGTTTTCAGTTGAGCATGTCTGACTCCCATGGAAGTTTGGAAACTGGAGGGGAGACAGCACATTTTATTTTTTTAAATCCAAAAAATTTTTTATTGGTGTTCAATTTGCCAACATACAGAATAACATCCAGTGCTCATCCCGTCAAGTGCCCCCCTCGGTGCCCGTCACCCATTCACCCCCACCCCCCACCCTCCTCCCCTTCCACCACCCTTAGTTCGTTTCCCAGAATTAGGAGTCTTTATGTTCTGTCTCCCTTTCTGAGAGACGGCACATTTTAGATGTTACCATAAGGGAGCATACATTCCTATCAGCGAGGATCCTAAGTATTTCACTTCATAGAAGGCAATCTTGTACAACAAAAATCGATCTCACCCCAAATGCCAATGGCCACTTTACATTAGCTTACAGGGCAATATGACTTGCTTCCAATATCTAATGAAGGCAAATCTCCTGACTTCTGTTTATTCTATCCAACCTGCCATAGGTATATGTTTCACAGTGATAGGGCCTGCCCCAGGAAAGACTGTGAAATGTACCTGGCTGGACTGGATGTCCTCCTTACTCTGCCTATGAGGACTCTCGCTTTACTGGCCATTCTGACCTGGATTCATTCAAGTAGCATCCCCACAAGTTTCTGGGCTATGGCTACACTCTTCTCACTCTGATCCACCAAAACCTGTTTCCTTCAAGTTTTCAGCAAATAACTTGATAAACATATCACACTAAGATACTAATCTCATATAATACAATATACTCTTCTTCCCCAGGATAGCTATATCAAAGGCTTAATCCAAAGATACCACTTCTTACCATCTCTTTTATTACCACCCTGGTCTAAGCTACTCTACCCTCTTTCTCCTGGATCACCATAGCAGTTTCTCAGCAAGTCTTCCTACTTCAATCTTATAACACATAGTCACTTCTCAATAGTGATCTGACCCAAGTGAGCTCCTATCATTTCCAAGCCCAGAATCCTCTGATAGCTTCCTAGTTCACTCAGAATAAAAGCCAAATATCTCCAACGGCCAGCAAGGCCATACATGGAAGGAGGAAAGCTGGAGGAAGAGTGTATCAGAGAGAAATAACAGGAGTCTGTTTTGGACATGTTAAATATGAGATGCTTATGAGACATTCCAGTGGAGCTGCAAGGAAGGCACTATCCTTAGATCCTCAGAAGAGAACTTTAGGTTAGATAAATGGTTTTTCACCCAAGGTGATTCTGTCCTCCAGGAGACACTCCGCAATGTGTGACACATTTTTGGTTGCCACTTCTGGGACAGAGGAGGTTCTACTGGCATCTAGTAGGTAGAGGCCAGAGATGCTGCTGAAAATCCTACAGTGCACAAGACAGCCCCCCTGACAAACACTGACCCTGCCTAAGATGTCGCTGAGAAGATTTATGCTAGAGAAATAAATATGGGAGACATACTCAAACAGATCAAATTTTAAACCAGAAGTGCAAGGTAAGGAAAATATGAGGAGCTCCTCTTTCAGCAGGCACAGATAAAAGTGGAGGAACCAAAACAGAATACAGGAAAGGGTCAGCCAGAATGGGAAATGGCAACACAGGAAAGGGTGGAGGGCCAAAGACCAAGAGAAGAGTGTTCTTGAAAGGGGGCTCAACAGTAGTCCACTTCACAGAAAACAGCCAAGATGGCAAGTGACACCGGTTGGGGATAAGGTGTTTGGAAGAATGGAGGAGGCGGGCCAGAGGAGTAAGACCACAGAGGCAAGTGAGAAGGCTGCCAGGCAAATGTGAGGCTGCCACGGACATCACTCAAATGTAACCAACAGGCAGGTAATTGAGCTCCTCCAGTCCTCCAGCTTTGCCAGATTAGGAGAGGGCAAAGGAATCAGGGAATTTGCAGGGGAACAATTTGAACTGAGGCAGCTGGGTTGGACAAGGAAGAATTGATGACAAAAGGAAATTCATGAAGGGGGGGGGTGATGGACTGAAGGTTTTGATGAATCATAAACATGTTTCCAGATCAAATATACTCCTCTACCAAGCTCTCAATTGTCCCATATTCAAATACCCTATTTCTTGATATCATTAAAGTAAATGGGATTTTTACCTTAGTCAGAAAGACCCCTTTACTATATGAACACTGCTAACAATCTTACTTACTTTGCCACACCAGGACCAAACAGCATTTGTGGAAAAGACCATGTAATCATGAAAGATAGGCTAAATAACCCTGTCACGGGTTAAAATGCAGGCTTTTTCATTTGCTAATGCTGCAACATTAAATGACTTACTTTAACCTCTCTCTGATCCTAACTCTCTTCACTCAACAGACTGTGGTAGGCACTAGCAGGCACACAATGCCCTTCAAGGACATCCACATCCTAATCCCTGCAATCTGTGAATTGGTTATGTTATATGGCAATGAGGAATTAAAGCTCCTGATCAACTGACCTTAAAAGAAGGAGAGTACCCTGGAATAAACACCCAGGTGGACCCACAGGAACCACCAGGGGTCTTAGAGGGAAAAGAAAGAAACGTAAGAGTCAGAACCAAAAAGACTGCCTGAGAGACTTGACCCCCCACTGCTGGCTTTGTAGATGGAAGGAGGGCCACCAGTCACACGTTGTGGGCAGCCTCTAGAAGCTGGAAAAGACAAGAAGGAAGTC